CAGTTTTTCAGTGCTAACCTGACCATACGATTTGGCTTTTCTAGTACACTCTGTCCCCATGTTTTTTGATCGTTTCTCGATTTCGTGCAATTATTAAACTGCGTGCGCATTTATATCTAATGCTAGAAATTTTTTCTTGCAGTATGTCCATATCTTGATCTACCTCTGCATATCCCATCACATAAATAGTTATATACTATAGTTAATAATTCATATAATGACTTATTTTCTTTCGGAACTATTTAGAGCGCTCTTAAAGAGTGGATGAAACAGCCACTAAGCGGCTTATTCGTCCATTCAAATACCTTCCTTTGAGATTGTACGACTACCACAGAAGGACCATTGCTGTCTGGTAATCATTAATCTTGCGCGTATGACGAGATTCAGAAATCATCGTAGTTCATGAGTCAAAATTGTTGCGGTTGAAGAGGTTGTATCCATTGTAGTCACATATACGTGCACACACATGCACGTGCATACATACATTAATACGTACACATTTGTACAAAGATACATTAATACATACATACTTACTTATGCGACAAATTCGACTAACAGTGAAGTTTAATTCTAGCCGGCATTGCCTTGATGGTACTTTTGCTTCCCCGGTTACAAGGATGATCCTTGCAGACAAGTTCGCTTGCGGTGGGTGATCACTGTCATTAAGTAAGGACCTTCGCACCGAAGGGTAATTAGGATGTCCCAACAATTCGGTTAATTAATTGGTCTTGGAAAAATCAGGCGGTAGGTTTTACGTTCAAATTGTATTATATTTCTTCCAAGTTTGCAGATTTGACCAAGGCGACTCTTGTGGTTATGGGAAGTGATCACTCCATCTTAGCGAGTCGAACCACGTCACTCAAAGGAGGGATCTGTAAGCTCGCATGAGCAGAGAGAATGATAATTTCAATTTCATTCGAGATATACCGTAGTTATGTGATTATGCTGATCGATTCCCACATATATTGCGATTTAACACGAAATTGGCTCTTCATTCTCTTGTGATTGCTTTTTAGCCACTAGACGTATCGTTGCTAATTCAACTGTTCTAGGCATTATTAACTTTGTGCTTTTCTTGCGGTTAATCATCAGACCATTGCTTTCAATCCGATTTTCCTCCGTCGCTAGCGTCACCCCGTTCAAAATACCATGCTGGAATGCGAACCGTAAAATCCGCATATTTTATGCAGTTTCTGTCGCGAATCCATTTATTATTCCTTTCTTAACCGGGCGCTTTATCCAGCGGAAGAATCGCTGGCCAATGTCTGTGCAATCCTTAAAAAAACCCTGTTTATCATGCTATCTATCCTGTGAACAGACAGACGAAAATCCCGCTTGCTTCTTCGGTGGTATCAGAAAACGGAGCCAGAGAGTACCACAGGTCTCACCATTTAATTTACCATGGCTTAAAAAATTTGCCATAGTGAAATTACCCAAACTTAAGTAGATTCAAATTCTCAGCCTTCTGAACGGAGGACTGAACTTGTCGTTGTGTACCTAGCTTCCCATTAAAGCCCTTAATTCCTAAGTTGTTGAAATTCTGGCCTTTCTGTCAATACTAAAACGCGGTACTGTTCATACCTCGGAATTTTCAGAGGCATTCAAGATATATTTTCAGTTGACCACCTGCCAAATGCTACTCTTTTCGTTCTTCTAAACAATGCGCTCGATTTAAACCTTAAAAATGATTAACCTTTGTAAATGATTGGCTAGCTGCGACAAGGCATGAAACATGGAGCAACTCAAGACAGCATAAATATTATTTTTACTGTATTCATATCGTACTATGGCCTTCGCTTTGCGGAAATGTTTGTTTGAGGAGGTTCCTCCCATAGGCACTATTCATTTGTGAAGAGGGTAAATTGAAATCCTTTCCTTCATTTTCTTAACTCTCTGATTATATAGTCGCGCTGCTGGCTGATTGTCTGGTTGGATGAGATAAAATTTTCAGGAAGAAGAATGGCTGAAACGATTAAAGGATAGTCTAGCCAAGGCGGAGAACTTGAAGAACAGCATGACTTCAATTCTGGACAATTTTGAACATCGGTTGTTCAGGTTGGAGTCTACGGTAATGCCGATGTACAAGTACACCGGCTACCTGCAGCAGAAGCAGCAAAGTGGGTTGGTCAGTGAAGTGGTAATTCTTTGTAACGTCTCGTATTCAGATATCAGTCGGACGCTAAAGGTGATCGATAACGTCATGAACTTGTACAGTATGGCATCAGAGGCCAATTCAATCCTTAAGGATCTCCAGTAAGAGAATCGTGTTGCTGGTGTTGTTTTATAATATACCGAAATATACAAATTTCAGTCCTTCGGAAAATCTCGAAAATTACTTGAAATACATGGGGCATTTGAAGGACGCCATATGTTTCTTCAGAACCGATGATGTGTATAAAAATCAAATGGAACATATGGTAAATAGGTTAAACTTTTGTTACATTAATATGCATGCAAATATCAACATACACATGTTAAATACGATTTAGTTTATCTTGTGTTTAATCCACACTATCTTCAAAACAACGATCTTAGCGAATGACCTTAATGAATTTCATTGAATAAACTCAATATCCGCAAACAAAACAAGCAGCCGATTTTGGCTTATGCTTGGACTGTGGCCTCCTAAATTCAGTCAAGATTTTCTGTCTAGTTCCGGCAATGGTCTCTCCATTATCTTGCCCCATTTTTGCTACTGTTTCTGTCAGATCAACTACTTCATCTACTCTTCGCCCTCCAAAGCGAAGTCTCCCAAACTCAGAAGGCCAGGAGTTTGAGGCCACACGTATTGCTGTGGGGGACTGTTGTTTTTACCGATCACGTCTTCATATCTGACTGCTGGTTCAAGCATGTGCGTTAAAGTCATTCACAAAATGAATAGTTTCATTTCCAGCTGCCCTTTTCAAGTCCGCATCGACTTTCTCTGGGTAAAATTCGGGTATGATTGTAGAACAGGTGCATCAGATTGCAGTATAGTCAGCATACATACCTTTTAACCTAGCAGAATCAAAGTAAGATACCTGGAACTCACCAGTATCGCAACCACTGCATGGACCTACCTGTTTGGACCAGCTCCATACTAGAAAATTCTAGGCGGTTGGTAGAAAAGATGCACGCAATAGGTAGCGTTCTGCTTCTTCGGCCAGATCCTGTTCTTTTATGGTCAAAGGCATTATGAGTTATTTATTAACAGACTTTTCAGTTATTCCATTACTTCCATGAGCCATGTTTCAGTGGTTGAGGTCAGTTATGCTTTGTTCCACCATAGGTATCTCCCGATATGGACAACCTGTCCTTTGATCCAGATGAGCCGTCTCTTTGACTGCCGCGAGCACACTGGGGGATACTATTGGATATGTTTCGAACGAAACCCTCTGCGTAAGATTTGAACGCGTCTCTTGACAATCCGTGCGAATATCAGTCTCTTGGCTTTTCTTATGTAATAAAGTATTTTTTTGGTTTTGTCCTTTTCCCTGTTTTTGATTAAGGTGTAATAAAAATTAATTGGAATGATTTTCAGAAAAGTACGTACGAATTCGGCATAAGCGCGCTAGAGCAGGAGTTCAAAAATGTTTTGAGGAAAGAGAGTGTCGTCGTGAAGGCGTCTGATGTATTGGACTGCATCAGCGATGGATACGGTGTGCTTTAAGAAAGTTCACTATACAAGCATTCGCATTGTTCTTTAGACAGTGTGACGGAGAAAGTTCAGGAACTGGAACTTATCACTGGTAATATTTCGTTATTCACCTATGACTGACTGCGTCCGTCCCTGTCTCTGCATATCCGTATGTCCCTGTGTCCGTCTGTCGCTGATTCCAGTGGTATGTCGCTTATACACGTATGTCTCTGACTAACAGATGCACGATTGTCTGGCTGATGATCGAATTCAATCAGAAAACACAACACAGGGTCATTGTTTGTATTTATGGCTGTGGTTATTAGTTGCTACTTAAATATGGATTTAAATGAATACTGCATTCACTCACACTTTAAACTTTACGTCTTCTTAGCGGATGGCATGGAAACGTTATCGCGCATTTCGCAGTGGCTTATCGACAGTTCATATGCAACGAACTACTTGAATATATACGGCGAGTTGCGAGCCACTGTCGACTTACAGACGCTGCAAAGGTAATAATTTAATATTGGCTTTGTTTTACATATTGTAATGATTTTGACTGTAGTTTTGTTCGGCTCGACTCGTAGTCACAGGAAGTAAAGGTAGTTTGGCTGAAGTACTCGTTTTTAAAACATTTTGCTCAGTTTTGCCTGTAGAAAGATCTGCTGATTGCCTTTGGAGTCTGCTCGATGCAATATTTACAAAATATTGCTTGCATACGTTATGCGCTAGTTTTTTTGTTGACAGTTCTTGAATTTTTTTTCTCCAAAAATACTCAAAATACGAAGGACCCTCTGCTGCAAATCAGGAGAATTGACTTGACTTTCATTTCATTGCTGGCAGCTTGATGATTTCACAGAGTATACCCTTTCGCTTATGGGTATAAGATTCAGAGATTATTCTGTGCGGACAGAGCAAAACTGGACGAATGTTTTTTCAGAGGGGCTATGACTGTTTTCTGGCCAATGACTGTTTGATTTAAAGAATTTGGAGACAACTTGTGGAATAAAATTCAAGGACTGTCACGTTTCTGCGGCAGAAGCAACTAATTTCATAGTTTGATAAATTGCTGGACAAAGATAATATTTTTGGCTCATCAGATTTTCAAATGAATGCCCGGCTACGAAAATCACTACCCTGAAAGCCAAAACCAAGCGTACATAGAAGTAAAGATATATATCAAGCAAGCCTGCCGCAATTTGGGAATATCTCCGTGATAATATTGGAAATTGCATATGATCTTACAATTTCTTTTGCCTTTCCAGGAAATAACCTTGAGCTATATAGCTCCTCACGCAGAGCCTGAATGACGAAGCGTGGCTTCGTCACATGCCACAGGTCTTAGGTTTCAGGGGTCACTGTGAATCTGAGCGTTGACTGTCAACTATTTACCTGACTGAACCATCGCCGTTGTGTTTATTAGTTTTGCAAAGGAGAAGTATGTCACGTTAAAACAAAGCAGTAGTATT